CGTTCACAACCTTGTTCATCATATATGGTGCATACGGTTGCACAGCATAACGATAACGATTGGCATGTGCACCCCCAATCGTTATGCGTTGGACCCGTGTCCAGCATGCTTGCTGGACACGGGTAACAGTGTCGTTAGGCACTGTTATCTCTTTTTTTTTTTTTTTTTTTTTTTTTTAAATTTCAGACCGCTTCATTGTAAGAGTATATATTCATAATTTTATTACTATATGTTAATAACTATACATTCATAACTCCATAACTGTACGTTCATAACTCTATAACTGTAGATTCATAACTCCATAACTGTACATTCATAATTCCATAACTGTACATTCATAACTCCATAATTGTACATTCATAATTTTCGAAGCTCTATGTTCACAATTTTAGAGCTCTATGTTCATAATTTTATCACTATATGTTCATAATTGTAAGTTCATAATGTTAGAGCTCTTTGTTTATAATTTGATCAATAACTGTACATTCATAATTCCATACTGTAGATTCATAATCTCATAACTGTAGATTCATAACTCCATAACTGTAGATTCATAACTCTATAACTGTACATTCATAACTCGATAACTGTACATTCATAATCTTCGAAGCTCTATATTCACAATTTTAAAGCTCCATGGTCATAATTTTATCACTATATATGTTCATAATTGTAAGTTCATAATGTTAGAGCTCTGTGTTCATAATTTCATAATTGCATAACTGTATATTCATAATGGAATAACTGTACATTCATAACGGCATAACTGTACATTCATAATCCCAAAAAAAATAACGCCGTTAACGGCAAAACGCGCGCAAATTTTTTTTTTTTAAAACTAAATGACGCGTTTTTTTTAAAAAACAACGTCGTTTTGGGTCCGTGTCCACAATTCAATGTGGACACGGGTCCAAGGCATAATTTGCCGAGGCACCCCCGTGCACGTGCCTAACATAAAACTCCAAGATTAGTTTGATCCATCAACACCTTAATGGGCCTGCAACAATTTCTATGGCCCTGAGATTTAGGCCATTGGGTATAGTTTGTCCAACCATCATTGGAAGAACGCCTTTCCTCCTCATTCGGCAGTTCCCTCCGGCCTCCGCTTAAAGTTTCTCTGTTAGAGAGAGAAGTGGAATGGCGTCCGGCGGCGGTATACAAGCGGGAGTGGAGAGAGTGTTCATCGGAGCTGGCTGCAACAGAATAGTGAACAACGTTTCTTGGGGCGCCTCCGGTTTAGTCTCTTTTGGTGCCCAAAACGCCGTCGCTATTTTCTGCCCCAAGGTTTTTCTTACTTCTTCAATCCCCATCCCATCTCTAAGCGCACATTCAACTATGCTCCTCGACTTTCCATTCTATTAAGGTCCTTCAAGAATGATTTTATTTTTCATTTTTAATTATTTTTGCAGACCGCACAGATATTAACTACGCTTCCGGGTCACAAGGCCTCTGTAAACTGTACCCATTGGGTTCCCAGCAGCAAGTTTGCTTTCAAAGGTCTAGTCTTTACTTTAGCCCCCACCTTTAGAAAGAAGCTTGTGGAATATTTTTTTGCAATTGCATTTGAAGATATATTTATTTCGGTTTGTGAATTGTGTCAATGTGATTACAGCTAAGCAGTTGGGGCAACACTTTTTGCTATCTGGAGATGCTGATGGTGTTATTATTTTGTGGGAATTTTCTCTTTCAGAGAAGAAGGTACTTGTCTAGCTGTCCTATTCACTTTTACTGGTAGATGTAACTTGGGAAGAAACAAAATATAGGGAAGAGAATGAGAAGGAAGTTATAAATACTCAATGGAAAAACTTAGAGATTAAGCTTAAAAGATCCATGTTTTAGTTAGGGATTTCAAATGGGAAATCTTTTTATTGTTCTTTATTTACCCCATGGGTTCAAAAATGCAACAGACTGCTGCTTTTTTATGCTTCTCAAGTTCAAAGTACTCCATAGATAAAGTGGTGGAATATGTGGCATATTCAAGAAAGAATTAGTAAGAGCTAAGATGTCAAATAACTCATTATTTTCAACACCACGATTTTCTATAGTGATGAGATTATATCATTTTATGGTAGGTTTTGTTTGGTTTTGCGTACTGTTTTAAAAAACTAGATTTTACAGTCAGAGGTACAGTCTTGCTAGTGAAGCTTGAAACAATGAGGCCTGTGTGTAGATTAACTTTCCACAAGAAACAAGGAAGAAGAAATAAAATGCAAAGGAAAATTGAAAGTTTGTTTGCATATGACATCAACTTTTTTGCTTTCTTTAGTGCAACCTAGTAATCCATGAATTGATGTTTACAAACCAGTCCTGTTTCAAAATATTTCAATGACAACCATTAACAACGTTTTAGATGTTCAATGTTGGAAGTTTAAAATTTCCCTTTTCTAATTAGTTTCCTGTTTCTATGAGATATTTTCCAGTATAATGATGTGATGGAAAGGTCTCTATACTAGTATGCTTTGAATGCTTTATTTCCAGTTAGTTTTCAAAGAAAAATTTATATATATATATATGTTTTGCATGCTTTTGTTCCTGACAGTGGAGGTATGTGTTACAATTGCCACAATCCCACAAAAAAGGTGTTACATGCATTACTGCAGTATTGGTTTCTCATCAACAGTCAATTTTTGCATCCACATCTTCGGATGGTACTGTAAATGTGTGGGACCTGGCCCTTCCATCTACATACGGAGGTGAGTTTTCTGCTCACTTTTCTATATGATTTTGATGGTTTACTTTCTCAAGTATTAATCATGTAAGTGCTTTCTTGGTATTTGGAGAAAATACATTTTTAATGGAGAAAATGCAGGTAGTGTACATCTCCGCAAGCAGCTTAACATATGTTTCCCTTTTTTTATTTTTTATTTTTATTTTTTTAATGTAACCTCCTGTTGCTGATACAGGTGACTGTAAATTATCATGCTTGGATTCTCTCTTTGTTGGTCGGAAACCTATGGTTTCTCTCTCACTAGCAGAGTTGCCTGGGAGCCAACACCTGGTACTGGCCATGGGAGGATTGGACAGCAAAATTCATCTATATTGTGGTGAGAGGACTGGAAATGTATGAGATGACACAAGATTTCTTCTTTCCTTTTCAGTGTCAAATATAATTTTTTTTCTTTCACTAACTAAACCTCGTTTCTTAATGTTGTGTCTTAGTTTCTTCCTGCCTGTGAATTAAAATCACATACAGACTGGATTCGAAGTTTAGATTTCTCCTTACCTATATATACAAATGGGGAAGCCAGTATTCTGCTGGTAAGTTCATCTCAAGACAAAGGAATACGCTTGTGGAAGTTGGCTTTACAGGATACGTTAGCTGATCAAAGGAAGCAAGAAATGAGCTTGTCATCTTACATTAAAGGTCCTGTACTTGTAGCTGGCTCATCCTCTTATCAGGTTTCTATGGAGGCTCTCCTCATCGGGCATGAGGATTGGGCATATTCAGTTGAGTGGCAACCTCCTTCAAGTTCATCTAATGAAGGAGGTGAATGCTATCAACCTCAAAGCATTTTATCTGCGTCAATGGACAAGACAATGATGATCTGGCAACCAGAAAAAACTACTGGCATCTGGATGAATGTGGTTACTGTTGGAGAGCTAAGTCACTGTGCCTTGGGATTTTACGGTGGGCACTGGAGCCCATGTGGAAATTCGATTTTAGCTCACGGCTATGGTGGATCATTCCATCTCTGGAAAAACGTTGGTGTTGATTTTGATGATTGGAAGCCACAAAAAGTTCCTTCTGGGCACTTTGCCGCTGTGTCAGATATCTCATGGGCTAGAAGCGGTGACTATGTTTTGTCAGTCAGTCATGACCAGGTAACATATTCCCTTTTTAGTCACGCGCAATTTGATAGAGTTATTTCTTTGCTCAACTTTCATGCATTATTTTACTATAGTTAATTTATGTCTGGGCAATACTAGTTTCTCTAAATTCTCCTCTCCAATAGAATTTCGGAAATGTCCTGACATCTAAGGAAAACTTGAGAAAGTATTTTGCAAGACTGCAAGACAAAACACATTAGGGAAACTGAATTTAATGCTTTATTGGCCATTAATTTTATATGCTCATAAAGCATTTTTCCCTACTTACTGCAATAAATTTTTGCAATTGAAACAATTTCCTTTCCTTATCTGACTGCAATCCTTATCAAATTGGTTTTTAGAATAGATAGGCTCTAATAAGTTATTGACCAAACAGGCATTGAGCTCATTGATTTTGCTTTTTCAAATGATTAGTATACAAATTCTCTAGTGGAGTTCTTGGTAATCATGTGAAGAATCTCTTCCTCTTCCCTGGCTACACATCTATGAAGTTCTGATAACAATAATTTGCTTTTGCCAGACAACAAGAATATTTGCTCCGTGGACCAACAATAATTGTTCTGTGAATGGAGAGTCGTGGCATGAAATTGCTCGACCTCAAGTTCATGGCCATGATATAAACTGTGTGACAATGGTCCAAGGAAAGGGAAACCACCGTTTTGTGGGTGGTGCCGATGAGAAAGTTGCCAGAGTTTTTGAAGCTCCTTTGTCCTTTCTGAAGACATTGAGTTATTTTACATCAGATGACCATAGTTTTTCAGATAATCTTCAAGTTGAAGTGCAGATTTTGGGTGCAAATATGTCTGCTCTAGGTTTATCACAGAAACCTATATATGTTCAAGGTAAGGGGTTTTTTAATATTCAAAGAATATATTCATTCTATATTAACTATTAAGAGTTACTGATAATGTGTTTTATTTATTATTATATTGTTTTTGCCAGCTTCATCAGATGCAAAGCAGGTTAGCAATAACGAAGGTATTGATACCATGGAAACTGTTCCTGAAGCGGTTCCAGTTGTCTTAACCGAGCCACCCATTGAAGAACAACTGGCCTGGCATACTCTATGGCCCGAGTCGCACAAACTGTATGGCCATGGGAATGAACTATATTCATTATGCTGTGATCACGAGGGAAAGCTTGTAGCTTCTTCATGCAAGGTATGCGATATATTAACATATCTATAGCTAGCCTGATTTGTTCGAGGCATATACTAATGTCTGTGCAGATGTCCTTGGCAGTGCTTGTGTCTTTCTTGCTCATATAATATGCCATGTATAATTAAAGAATATGAGAAACAAATGTGGAGTGAAGCCCGCCTTGTGACCATAGCTAGCAAAGTACCACAAGGAGGTAAACCAGCCTAGACTGTCCATAGCTAACCAGCTCAAATCAAGAAAGCCAGAAGACAGCTTCCACGGGAAGTCAAACTTGAAGCCTTGTGGAGTTGTGGTTATCAAGTCAACTGTCCGACCAACTTGGCTAGGGTTGCTCCCTTGTTTCTCATATTCTGGGAGTCAAACTTGGAACCTCGTGGTTACCAAACCAATTGTCCGATCAACTTGGCTAGGGTTGTCCCGTTTCTCATATCCGGCGTATTTTCCGGCAAAAGTGACTGGTGACCGGTCGCCGGTCACGTAGAAGGCAACCACTGGTTGCCTTCTCCGGCGATCTCCTTCTCCACCGGAGAAGGCAACCCAGATCTGGGTTGCCTTATCCAGACGAGAAGGCGACCACGCCGGCTACTTTTGCCGGAAAATACGTCGGAAATACGCCAGATCTTGAATGAACTTTGATAGCAGGTCATTTACCTGTATTTGGGCTTCATTGCATCAAAATGCATTGTTTATGGGTGTAATTGCACCTTTAAAAAGTTGAAGGGGCTAATTTATTCTTTAGCAAAAGTTTGAGGGCCTATTTGACAATTTTTCCGAGATAAAATGCATGCGTAATTTGAGGTCAATAATCAAGATTCTGGACCATTTAAAGACATCGTGGTGTTAGCGTCTGAACATAACCATCTTCACATTGACGGCATAAATGAATCAATATGACCGCATTGAATTATTTAGTAATGATGCTTTCTCAGATTGATACTATATATAAAGTGCACATTAATCGTCAGCCAGAATAAGTGGTTGAATTTGCTACGTATTACAAAAGCTGATACCCACTTTAAATGTAAACTGATTTTTCTTCACAAACTTTGACTGAAACATTAAATGACTTCTGACAAATTCATGCATTCAGGCTCAATCAGCATCAGTTGCAGAAGTATGGCTTTGGCAAGTGGGTTCTTGGAAGTCAGTCGGCCGCCTCCATTCACACAGCTTGACAGTGACTCAGATGGAGTTTTCTCACGATGACAACTACCTTCTCACTGTTTCAAGGGATCGCCACTTTTCTGTTTTCTCAATTAATCATACAGGTACGTTAAACGTATATTTCCCGATGGTGACATGATTATTTTCAATTTTTCTTTTACGACTTCTAGCATTTCTCTTTTATTACTACGTAGTATTATCAGTGTTGCAAAAATCGCGCAATCGGCGCCTAGGCGCTAGGCGGTCGGCCACCTAGGCGCCCACCTAGGCTCTCTAGGCGCCCGCCTAGGCTCTCTAGGCGCCTAGGGGCTCTAGGCGGTCCCCAGCCGCCTAGCGATTTTTTCAACCTTGAGTATTATTTTTAACAATTTGTCTTTTTTCAAGAATGAATCACTTATATTTGTTTTAAGACTTGTAGGAACACAAGTTCCATTCGAGTTTAGAGATATGTGAAGAAATTTGGTTTGAGTTTCCCGGTTACACTGGGAATAGGAACTGTGTGCTTGACATGTAACAAGAACTTAGAACGCATTCTTCTAAAAGGGTAAATAATGAATTTTATACGCCTCGTTGCAGGTAATGACACGAGTTACCAGCTTGTATCTAAGCAGGAGGCACATAAAAGAATAATATGGGCATGTTCTTGGAACCCATACGGTAATGAATTCGCCACTGGCTCAAGGGACAAGACCGTCAAAATCTGGGCGGTGGAAAATGAGGCCTCGGTGAAACAACTCCTGACTCTGCCGATATTCAACGCTAGTGTGACATCCCTATCTTGGGTTGGCCTTAGTCGCCCCAACAACCATGGCCTTCTTGCAGTGGGGATGGAAAACGGTTTGATCGAGTTATGGAGCCTTCATAGCAGAAGAACCGAAGATGGTAGCCCATCATCAGTTCCAACCGCTAATCTTGCTGTTAAGCTCGATCCTTTTATGTGCCACGTATCCACTGTCAACCGGTTATCATGGAGAAACTCGGAGAAAAGCGAAGAATCCAACGCCATGCAACTTGCGTCGTGTGGGGCTGATCAATGCGTGAGAATATTTAACGTATGTTTTGGTTGAGCCAGAAATGAAATTTTGTAGATAGAACTTTGAAGCATGTTTGTATTTTAATCACCTGAAATATATAGAAATTGGGATGACTATAATGTTTGAAACATTAGTTGGTAGTTTATGCTATTTACTTCAACTTTTCCCATGATGTTTACTTGTCTTAAGAGCATCTCCAATGGGCTTCAAATCTTCAAATTTTAATCCCATATCGCCATTTTTGCAACTCCAATGTGAGTCTGCAAAATTCCATAACGCCAAAATGTTTGGCGTTAGTGAACAGTGTTGCGCCAAATTTGGCGCAGCACTGTTCATTAACGCCAAATGGAAAAGGGTAAAAAATGTACCATTCTGCCCTTGTTTCTTTTTTCTAATTACAATTGTATCCTTTATTTGTTTTATATGTAATTTTTTATTTTGTTAAATACTTATATTTAAAGTTTGTATAATTAAATAAAATTTATACCATTTTAAAGATCTCATTGAGACGATTGAAACAAGACTAATATTGAATATATATTAATTAAAATTTCAAATAAATCAAACATAGAACATAATAAAAGTTAAAATACATATAATATATGTAATTTAATGTACTAGATGTTGTTTGCTATATTATTATTGTGGAATAAATTAAATTTTTAAAAATATTGTTAAATTCGATTTTTTTTAAAATAATTAATGTTATAAAAATATTAATGTTAATAAAAATTATTATTTACATCACAAGTTATATTAAACTAATTAAATTCGAAATAATAATTGAAAAATCAAATTATTTTAGTGTAAAAATTTGGTGTTTTGGTGTTTTGGTGTAAATGAGTTGGAGATGAATAAAATTTGGTGTGAGAATATGCTGAGAATATTTCTTCTGATGTGACATTTGCTAAAAAAATTTGGTGTTTTGGAGATAGATGGGTTGGAGATGCTCTAAGAAAGTCAAAAACGTTGTAATGAGAAGTGAAATGAGCTGACAAGCTGAATATGATTTTACTTTTTAACTCTTAATTTTAAGAGTTCTACTATGTATACTTCCAAATCTTACTCCCTAAATTTTACTCTCTCATGTGGCACACTCTGATAAGCTATTTTTTCATGTGGGTTCCAATACAAATGTACAAATGTGATTTCATGTATAGGAGTACAAGTTGGAAGCAAGAAATGGGAGTACACATAGTATTTTCCTAATTGTAAAGAGTCTTGTAAGGTTATCAATCATTATTGTGTGAAACATGGTATTGACCATATTTTGTATATTGTATATTGTAAAATAATATACATTCAGTATAAAAATAAGGTATTTTTAGTATATTAAAAATTAAAAATGTACATTGTATTCAATGGATGTACATTATTTGTGTATTGAGTGTACGTTATATTATATAATGTACATTCAGTATATAAATAATGTACATTTAGTACACAACACTGTGTAGATCATGATTTGCCTAGGGTCATTGGAGTTAATTTGATTTTTTTTTTTTTTTCTGACAGTGGAGTTAATTTGTTAATCATAGAAATTCTTGCAAATGCTAAGAAAAAAACTAGAGAATATATTTACTTGTACATTTGGAAAATAAAAATTTAGACAAAGGAAAATAGAAAACTGAAGTAAACAATCTTAATTCTCGCAAATGTTGTGGGAAATAATCATGTTTATGTACTATCGTAAAACATTTCATAATGATACTTTGCAACATAGACACAAAAAAAAAAAAAGAAGTTGAGATTAATATTTAGTCATAATGGGTTTCTAGTTTTTAATGGGTTAAACATTTTCTCATTGATACAATAACAAATTGAGCATCAAAGATATATAGATTATATAAAACATGAGCATCATTAAAATACAATAATAAAGCATAAATAACATAAAGGAAAGAAATAAAAACTTGTCTATTAAAATGGAAGAATAATCTTGAAATTTAAGATTACATGCTTCCAAAATGTTAAGAAACTTAAATCTAAGTCTAACCTAATTTAAAAATATGGAAGGAAAAAAAATTTGTTAGGGTTTGTATTTAGGTCATAACCGAGTAGAAATAGCTCAAATTGCGTTTTAAATAGTGAACAAAATGCCCATGAATGGTATGAAGAACAGTTATTCCTTAGCTTGTCGGTGCCCAGGAAAAATGCAAATTAACTTGAAGAAATAGAGTAGCCGTGAATTCCGACATAATGAATGACCATTCGTCAACTAGTTTTTAATGGATAGAACTTCTTTCTTACTATTTTTGACTTTTTTAATATTAGAATTGGGTTTGATAGTTTCCATAAAAGTTGTAGCACTTTGAGCTAGATTTTCATTCGCACAAGAATCATTGCATTTGGATATTCCTATATTGAGATATGATCATGAACAGTAATTGTGTTGTACAAGAATTACATCCCCTTAATCTTTTGCTTCACTTTTGTCTTGATTTATTCATATGGTCAAAATTATTGAAAATACTAGTATTTAGCTCTCTGAAGAGTATTGCATCCATCACCATAACTCCATCTTGACTCTCATTGACATCAAATGTATCTATAATACTCTAAAGATCATTCAGTTCGTCTCAATTATTAATAAATACATATAAACATACAAATGAATCAAATAAGAATCATTTTGGAAAAAATTATAACAAATAATAAGTAAAATAAGTTTAATGCAATGTGAAAAATCTATAAACATTATTAACCCATTTTACAATGTGAAGTCACCATTAGATTTACTTGTTGGAAATTGATAACCATTTTCCAATGTGAAGTCGCCATTGAATTTGCTTGTTGGAAATTGATGAGTCCAGTTATCGTAGCCTAGTGGTGACCCATCAACCACGCCACTTTTTTGATAAATGAAAACTATACTCATATCCTTCTATACAGGAGCGGAGCCAGGATTGCATAGTGCGGGAGGCAACCACGTTTGAAATACTAAATCAAATACATTGATATGCAGTTAACATATTTCAAAATAAGCATTACATTACAAATTTAATAAAGTTTAGAATAAATCATTTATAATTGAATCTATATTAAATTATTTTGTAATATGCTTTTCAATGCACATTGCTTTGTACGGTTGAAAGAATGAAAACATTCACGCGTGTTTTAAAAGACTATTGATTATTTCTTAAAAACTACTCTCTTCACAACATAACATAATAGTAATTGTATTCTCAAATACATATACTACACAATTTTTACATTATTATGCATGTTAAATTAAATACAAAATTTATCACATAACCACAAATTTACATAATTAACCAAACGAATGCACACCAAGACTATGTGGTCTAATGGTACTCGGGTTGGATTTCCATTTGGAAAATTGTGAGTTCGAGCCTTAGTGGAGGTGTTATTGGTTCTTTGCGTTTCAGTAGGTTGAGAGAGTATATGAACAGATGCAAATATGCATAGATTTTAATGACGAATTGTCTTGTTATAGCGTATATACTGCATATATGTGTTGTTATAGAGAGAAAAACTAGTAGGTAGGTTAAATGAGGTTTAATTTGCATATATGTGTGGTTATAGAGAGAAAAACTAGTAGGTAGGTTAAATGAGGTTTAATTTGCCATATATGTGTGGTTATAGAGAGAAAAACTAGTAGGTAGGTTAAATGAGGTTTAATTTGAATGTGAGTCAATAATATAAGAAAAAGTGGAAGGGGGACAAATATTTTAAAGGAACAACAAAATTTTGATATTCTATATAATATTTTTTTAAAAAAATTAATATTATATATAAGATTTTTTAAAAAAAAATTGGTGTGGGGGGGGGGGGGGGGGGGGTGGGTCAAGGCCCCCATAGCATACCTTTGCCTCCGCCACTGCTTCTATGTTATAACTTTTTGCATTTTTCCACTTAATGAAAGTGACGTCATTTTAATAGAATTGTTGATGTGTGGTGCAGAATTTATTGTTCCGTAAACATTCTTCCAAAAGCCTGAAACCCAACCTAAAGGCTATTGTTACGTAAACATATTCATACTATTTGTATTACAATTACCATTAATAGTAAAAGTAAATAAATGCACCTATGGCTGTAAATACGCCGGAACATTTAGCTTAATTATATATTTTTATTATTTACTTTTTGGAATTCTTCGTTATCCAGTTATCCTGTATATTGAATTTGTGACTCTTTTTTTCACATTAATTATTTGCAGGATGCTCTGTACATATGTAAATTATTTGATTTGTAACTCTTATTTTTCATGTTAATTGTTTGCAGGATCCTTTGTATACCGCAAATTATGCCATGGAATCGTGTTCACCGAGAATGGTGAACACAAGGCAAAACGACGTCGTTTTTAGGCCAAAAAAAAAAATTTCGCGGATGTGGAGTTAACGGCGCGCGTTTGATCAAATTATGAATTTTCTGTTATGAGATTATGAATTTTATGAAAATTCATAATCTCATAACAGAAAATTCATAATCGCATAACAGAAAATTCATAATCGTATAACAGAAAATTCATAATCTCACAACTGAAAATTCATAATCTCACAACTGAAAATTCATAATCTCATAACAGAAAATTCATAATCTTATAACAGAAAATTCATAATCTCATGGTTCCAAAGTGAATGTGTAGGCATGGTTCCAAAGTGAATGTGCAGGCATGGATTCATAATTTATGAATGTCCGTGATTTCGGACGGGAATATGTAGGCATGGTTCCAAAGTGAATGTGCAGGCATGAATTCATAATTTATGAATGTCCGAAATTATGAATGTAATGAAAATTCATAATCTCATAACAGAAAATTCATAATCGCATAACAGAAAATTCATAATCTCATAATTGAAAATTCATAATCTCATAACAGAAAATTCATAATCTTATAACAGAAAATTCATAATCTCATGGTTCCAAAGTGAATGTGTAGGCATGGTTCCAAAGTGAATGTGCAGGCATGGATTCATAATTTATGAATGTCCGTGATTTCGGACGGGAATGTGTAGGCATGGTTCCAAAGTGAATGTGCAGGCATGAATTCATAATTTATGAATGTCCGAAATCTTAGTTCACCTCAAATTAAAGTGAAACCGCAAAATGTGAAAATAAAGAAGAAAAGTCACGCAATTAATTAAGAAAAAAAAAAAAAGATAATGGTGTACTAACACCGTTGGAACTGATGAACACGGTTCCATGGCATAACGTCCGTTTGTATACATGTAAGTTATTGGATTTGTAATTCTTTTTTCACATTAATTGTTTGCAGGATGCTTTGTATACATGTAAACTTTCAAGACGCATCGTTACTCCAATCATTAATGATTTGTTATTAATATCCTATAATGATATCTGTCGTCAATGTACATGTATAAATACATTTGAATTCATATCAAACACACTACTGAGAATAAAAACTTTACTACAACACAAATATAAATTAACATGGCTCCAATGTATATTCTTGCTTGTGATATTTCATTATTGAAATTTTCTTGTGCTATTAAACTTCCGCTTGGTGCATGCCTATGAAGTATGGCTCCAATGTATATTCTTGCTTGTGATATTTCATTATTGAAATCTTCCTGTGCTATTAAACTTCGCTTGGTGCATGCATATGAAGTTGCATAAAGAAGGGGCAGTGATTCTATCAAATGTAAGGAATGCATGTTTCACGGTGAAGGGATATCTATTATCCATTCTTTATATATTGGGTATTGATTTTAATTTCCTATGTGATTCTATTGCATAATTTAGCCAAATACAACAAGAATAAAAAAGTGCACACACACACACACACACACACACACACACACACACACACACACACACACACACACACACACACACACACACACACACACACACACATATATATATATATATATATATATATATATATATATATATATATATATATGCTATTTGTTTACTTTTGTTTTTCTGTTAGCCTTTATCGTGTTTATATATTAAATAGAGGGAAATCTGTCCTCACTGTAATGCAGGAACTCTGAATAGATGAAAAGGAAGCAGCAACCTCTACATTTGACAAGTTCAAAAAATTGGTATTTTTCTGAATAGGAGGGTCATTACTTTATTACTGCTAGAAATTATGCTAAAACTATAAGATACACAGTTGTAAACAAAGTACAAGAAATATAAATGGATTAGTAGTAACCAACAAGGCTTTAAAACTTGATCATGTAAAGATAACAATTTCAACTTTTTACCTAAAACAAAAATCATTACACAACAGTACAACACTCAACCTACTTAAGCATTTAATTATTGTGTGTTGTCAGAAATAAGGCTAAAACTCTTAGGATTCCTAGAAGAAAATGCCTATTATAATAACTAATTAACAGTAAACCTACTCAAATCCAATCTATTAAAGCAACACCATAAATCATATAGTCCAACACAAATTCTATCACTAAAGAATAATATCATAAAACACGGTCATATCACTCTTTCCATGAAAATTTAAAGTGATGAAGAGATTGACATGATCGTGTACAATAGGAAGTAAGTGGAAAACTCAGAATGACAACAAATGTAAGTCATTCATACGATAATTTTATTTTTAATTTTTTTTTACAGTACACAACTTATTAAAATCAATCGAAAAAATAATTAGTCCACTTAGCTTTCTTCAGACGCATGCACAGAGCCTTTCAATCATGCGAATGTTAGAGAATAAAAAAAGAGTTAGAAGTCTTTTATGTCAACAAATCGAACGCAAAACCCTCGATCTACAACAATTAAACAGATGATAATCCCCAGTGAAGAAAAAACCCTAGGTAATGAGATTAAGTAATTTTAGTAGTCAGATTTGTTCAAACGTTATATTCGTCTTTAAATTCCATAAAGTAAAACGAAAATCTACAAATTCTATGCTAGATTAAACGAATTAGATTATGAAATTAAGAACAGAAAAAACAATAAATACTTACCCTTCTTCGTCATTAACTTTAGTGTAGTATCATTTCCAGATTAGGAGTACAAACAATGATCGAAAGTCTTGAATGAGCGATTGTAATAGAGAGAGAAACAGAGTGACATAGAGATAGAGATAGACTATCGGTAGTGAAATTGTGAGGACACAGAGAGAGACCCGAGAATAGGAATGCCCAGGTTCTAGATCATTCATCCAGGCCAACTCCTATTATTATTATTATTATTATTATTATTATTATTATTATTATTATTATTATTATTTAATAATAAAGATATAATAATATTAATACTAATAATAGTTATAATAAAAGGAGTTGGATGAATGATCTAGAACCTGGGCAGTCCTTCTGGCGTCTCTCTCTATGTCTTTACCATTTCACTACCAACAATCTATCTCTATCTCTATGTCGCTCTGTTTCTCTCTCTATTATAATCACTCATTCAAGACTTCCGATCATTGTTTGTACTCTTAATCTAGAAACGATACTACACTAAAGCTAATCTATAGGCAAAGACGAAGAATGGTAAGTATTTATTGTTTGCCTGTTCTTAATTTTAGAATCTAATTCGTTTAATCTAGCATAGAATTTGTAGATTTTATGTTCTACTTGATGGAATTTAAAGAAGAATATAACGTTTGAAGAAATCTAACTACTAAAATCACTTAATCTCATTGCCTAGGATTTTTTCTTCAATGGGGATTATTCTATGTTCAATTGTTGTAGATCTAGGGCTTTGTGTTTGATTTGTTGACATAAAAGACTTCTAACTCTAACTTTTTTTTTATTCTCTAACATTTGCAAATTGAAAAGCTTAGTGCATGCGTCTTAAGAAAGCTAGGTGGACTAATTATTTTTTCTGTTGATTTTAATAAGTTGTGTACTATAAAAAAAAGAAAAAAATAGCAATTTATAGTATGAATGACTTACCTTTGTTGTCATTTTGAGTTTTCCG